ATCTCTTCTAACCATCACACCAGTAAGTTAAAAGCATTTTCATCTGTCTCAAGCTAAGTGTCACAAAGTTAAGACGTTATTATTCTTCTGAGGTCTAAATCATTATTTAATCTAATAAATAATGAATAACTCTACATCACAATAAAATACAGTAATAACTCTCATACACCCAAAGGTTACACCCCCAAATATAGATTTGGGGTCATTGCTGAAACCTCAGCGGGTTAGAACAAACTTTATTGTGTTTTGCCTCATGGTCATGCCACCTTCCAATTTCTGACAATTTCAAAGATGTCCTAAAAGAAAGAGAAAGATGTCCTAAAAAGCTATTTCAAAATAGCTTCTTCTTATAAAACACAAATTCAGCTATATAAACATGTAACTGGTTTCTCTCTGTGTTTCCTTCTCCTGTAGTCTTGTAAACTGACCTTTCATTCTGCGAGTAGGAGTGATGAAGGTGCATATGCAATACAGCTGGAGATGGAGGACTTTCCCAAGCAGACCATCTTTCTCCATCAAAGTGATGATGTGGAGACAACAAGGACTCCCAGTGATGCTCTCAGCAAAATACCAATCAGATTTGGTCTAATAGGTAGGTCATTAACTTTTAACCTCTTAACTATTTCACAGTCCTTCAGAGTCCTGGATGAAAACTCCTACAGATGCAGTTGTCTACATCTGTGGATCATCTCATTCTTCTGCAATCATCTGACATCAGAAGAGTAATTAAATACTTACTGTGTAGGTCTTGGATTTGCATTTCTGTACTACTTACGACTCTTGACTCGATTGCTTTGCATTTGGGGGCACAATAACCAGCTAACACAGCAATACATGTCCCACACAAAGTTCCAACATTGTTACATTTGAAGCACCTACAGCTACATTTACAGCTACTTGGCTATATTTTTGTTGTTGAAATAACTTTCAAAATCATATCTCATTTGAAATCCTAGCTTGCCAATTAATATGCCACCTTTTTGTTTTGTTCCAGTGGACCCGCCTGTGCCATCCTGTTCAGAGGGAGCCTACCTGCCCAAGTTTCTGCCTCCAACCCCCGTCAGTGGGACTCAGCTGTTGGCCTATATTAATGAAACATTGAATATTACCATTATGGCAGAGGCAACCAACACCATGTGAGTTAAAGAGAAAGACACAAAACACTGGCATATGTAAAGAATATTTTTGTTTCAAACTTTCTCCTAGAATGTGTGTGAGCATAATATAGAACCTTTTTTTTAAACGTTTGTGACTCTTTTCAGTATTTTTCATTTTCATTGCACAAATCAAAATCAGTAACGCTGCCATATATGATTCCTTGCTTGTTCAGAATATACATTTCTTTTCAAAAAATTGTGTATATAAAAACTATATGAAAAACACATAACTTTAAGAAAAAATTCATTCATGAACATTTGTCTTGATTCACACACTTTTAGTAAATATAATGCACATATTGAAGTACATCCCTGTCTAGTCACATTTGAAGAAAAATAATAAAATTGATGTCTAGATCTGCTGAAGATAAATAAATTGCAGACATTAAATTATTAAATACATTTTAATACTAATAAGAATTATAGTTAAAAAACAAACAAACAAACCAAAAAACAAAAAATTACATTTCTCACTGGATCACTGTAAAGTCATACATGAAGTAGTGGTAACATCCAATCCATCACTTGTAATAGTTTGAGGTGAATTGGGCATGAATTCAAATATGGTGCAACCATTATGTGGCACAAAAACATTTTAGAAATCCAGAACAAACAACATTAATTTCAACATGCAGAATAATTATTAAACCATATATTACATGAGTTTAATCAAATTACTACTCTTGGTTTTGATGTTATGACAACAAGAGTGGGAGTAGGTTGGGGTGAAAAACCCAATTTCCCAAATTCTGGAGGGACACTAAACTCATTATTGGTTGGCCACATGCAATAATGTCAGTATCAGCCACATAACCTGATCTTTGCTCATTAGCTGGGACAAAATCCACGTGGTTCTACAACCTCACAGTGAGTCATGGGAAGGCCAATTTTGATACATTTAATTTACCCAAGAAAGGGCAAGTAACCAAGTTAGAATATAACTTGATCTGGATCACCCTACACTACCCATGCAATGTCACCTATGTTGCATTGCTACATAGATGTCCTACATGATGGCCTTGACAGTGCAAGACATTTTTTATTTGATTTTTGTTTGCAATCTAGAATGTTTTGAATTGCAGGTCAAAAATAAATAAATAGATGTGTTTGAAAAAATCAGATGCAGGACTGGGAAAATTATTTAGCAGAGGCATTGATAGAGAGCTGTCTTTGCTTGCTCGTTTCCTCTTTAAACATATTGTTTAAGATGTATTTCTTTTTGTAAAAAGATACAATAAAAAGAACGGTGATGAAACAGTCTGCAATAAATTCTGATGTTTGCACTCTGATTTACCCCTATGTGCCAAATCTCTATTTTGTGTATTTTTGTAAGGGTCTCAAAGCTTTTGTTCAGTGGACCACACAGCGTTGTGAAACATGTTGTATCACATGGAGAATTCATCCTGACCTGGACACCATGTGACAGGGAAGATGAAGAAAACCATCCCATCTGCTTCGTAGTCCAGGCAGAGTTAAAGTCAGATGGTTTAAACATTTTCGCACCACCATTTTTATGGACATATGTTGTACTGTTTCATTTTTTAATTACTATGTTTTGGATTTCTTTTCTCAGTACGGCCAAGTATCACTCTGAGCTACGCTGTGTGATTGTGAGCATTCAAATTAGTGAGTAAACTCCAAAAATGTGCATTTCCTTCATTGATTACTGTAACTGTTTATTTTTACATATTTGTTTATTATATTTTCAGGACCAATCACCACTCCTCTGCCAACAACTGTTCTGCCTTCAACCACCCCAGAACATACAACCACTCTTCTGTTCAGTACGTGAAATATAGAGGAGCTGATGCAGATCATGAATTTTGCCAAAGGCCTGTATCATGATGGCAGTTCAAACTCTCATTATTAGTTATTTATTATAACCAGTGGCACAAAGACGGTTAACAATTGTACTTCCTGTCATATTGCTTTTTTTTGCAACAGAATATATGAGCTTCATTTAGATATTTGATGTGTTGAAGTAAAATCTTATGTTTGATGTTTGGATTTACCACATCTTTCACTACATTTCTCTGTTATTTAATAGTAAATGAAACAGAAGATCAGAAGAAGGTGCTATATGAGTCCACAGGATCAGGTAAATATGATTATTTTTCATAGCTTGAAAGTGAATAGCTGTCATGGAAATATTGTTTGAGCTTAAAAGCAGCTTAAAGGTTGTCAGCTTTTATGTTTATCCTTCTTCTACATGCAGGTGACGACAGCATGGGTGCTGGCAAAGTTGTTGGTATTGTGTTTGGTGTTGGAGCCGTCGCAGCCATTGTTGGCATTGCCTTGTGGGCTTTAAATCGAAGTTCTTCTGTGCTCTGTGAGTCACAACATTTGCTACTTTTCCAAACTTTTTAAAAGGATTTTCTGATGATACACATTATTTAAGGCTGTGGTTCACCTGTCTTTTTGGTTTGTTTTTGAATTTTACAGAAAAAAGTTGGAGCTTTGGATGAAGATGGGGAGAACAAACCTGTAGAATCTGGAAATCACTGGTCTTCTAGCTACTTTCAGCTGCTCGCTTCTTGCGTCCCATTCCAATTTCTACAAATGTAAATGTTATATAATGCAGGTCTGCATTTTACTGTCAAAGCCTCACATAAATGGTCAATGAACTGTTTTGAGTCTTTGGCTCCATCTGTTGGTGAAATGATGGCATTAATGTACAAGGTTGTTCATTAAAGCTACAGGCAGACTCCCCCAGATGCAGGTGACTCTGTTTTATCAGAGGAAAATTTAAATACTGGGAAAAGGAAATATCTACAGAGACAACATGTGAAAGTAAAACG